GCATGTTTTATTTTTTTGCTGTTTGGGCAGGGGCGTGGCCCCCGCCCAAACAGCAAAAAGAAAAGCAACCGAAACGCCCAAACAACAAAAAGACAAGACAACAAAAAAAACACGCTTACCTTTGTGGTAGATGGGAATATGTAAGAGTACCTCCAATATAGCTACTGATATCCCTTATAGTCACTACTACAGGGTGGGGGGGTCCTCCTAAAGTATAGGTCCCTTCTGTCGGTCATGGTAGGGACTCTAATATGAGAAAACCCACTCTGTGCATGTCTCCAAGTACCAAGCTGGCATATGGGTGGTTGTCACAATTATGGTCCCTTTTTGGGTACCCTATTATAATACGGCACCTAATATTTAGGGTACCGAAAAATGGGACCATAATTTTGACATCCGCCCATATACCCAAGCGGACAGGGGCATGATCTTCGCAAGGAAGTGGGTTTCAGATAAGACCTGCCAAGGGTGCGACAAATCTGCAAAACTACATATTGCTGCACATAGGTTTTCAGGCAAGCGACACAAGATCAGCGGTCTTCTAAAATTTCTCTGCGCCAGCCAGGAAGAATGCCTTTTCAACGGATCTTAGAAGGAAAAACGATCAGGAACTAAACGATGCTAGTTGGCTCCTTATGCCTTTTGCGCACAGCTGATTCTGCCTGACGAGGTATCACTCACTGCATCGGAACGTGTAAAGCAGAGAGCCTACCAAGTTTCTCAGGACTTGCAAAAGGATACTTTGGGACTACGTTCATGTTTGCCATTCAAGCGCCTGCGAAGGTTAATTTCGACCTGGGCATGCAGGCTTGACTATGCTTCGCTTGTTTGCTATTGCTGTGCAAGCTGCCACCAACTGAGCCATTAGTGGAGTAGCATGGAGCCGCGGATTGAAGAGCAGTGCAATCACCTTCGTCTTTTAGAGGAGCTCTGCATGAACAGCCTAAATCATACATGTCCCATTGTGCCGGCTGCTCAATCAATATTGCAAGGATGGCAAACCCAGCGCGGTCAGCGCGCAAGATGCTCAGCACCATACAGCAAGGGAAAAAGCCACCCGAGCTCAAACATGTCCTCCTGAGCTTGCTCATGCAGTTGAAGTACAGACGCACTTGCAGCCTTTGGAGTCTGAACGCCAACATTGTTCTCTGGCATTCTCTGGCAATCTATCTGCAAGCTTGTCGCGAAGCCGTGCTCTTTGCACGTCAGTTCATGCCAGAGGGCAAGGAAGTCACTGAGGCAACAAGACGTGGACCTTCATGCTCTTTGCCGCGCTGGCTTTTCAGGGATGTCTGGCTTCCAGCTTCTTTTACAGAGCTCAGGATCAGCAACGGAAGCTCACATCCACTTTGGCAAACTTCTCGTAGTATCAACCATGGCCCCATGCAAGCAGTATTTTGCCATTTCAAACTGCAAGCATCTGCATGCTTAGGTCTTGTACGCGGCCAGTCGAGTCCGCACCCATCACATTGAAGGCTCAGAGGGCGGCGGTGGCGTTGCTATGACGGATTCAATGCTGATGCTGGCAGCTCATGATTGTTCACAATAATGTTACTGAACCCATCTATCACAATCTACATTCATCACAGATTGAAGCCGTGTATTTGGCTTCGCGCGATCACTGTGGCAGAAATGAACTTGTTCATGCTGTGGTGTCGTTCATTTCATGTCACAGTGATATACCTGGCTTTGGCAGCAAGTGCTGCCATGTCTACTATCAGTGTTGCAGTTGATAGTGATAGTGATGGAGGTCCGGGCACCTGGTGTGTTGGTGCTCGTAAACATGTCGTGCCATGCTGCTGCTACTGTTCTCTCCTCACTCTCTGTTAATATATGTATATATATAACTACATAACTCTCTCTCTCTCTCTCTCTCTCTCTCTGCCTGTCTCTGTGTATACATGCAGATATACACACACATCTATATTCCTAAATATGCAATTATTGCAAATATTGTTACGTGTAATCTAAGTGTACATACCTAATTTTGCTGGCAGCACGGTCTGCTGCTCCCGTCACCTTTTCGTGCTGATTCATTCGTATGTGTTTCTACATGTTGGTCATCTCCACTTCCTTACTGGCGGTTAGTCGGGAATAAGGGAATATACTGCGGATATACCAACTGTATACTATATTCCCTTATTGCCTACTAACCCTAAGCCCTGAATCCTAAGCCCTAAACCCCAAAACCCCAAATCCCATACATAGATAAATAGATAGTGTAGTGTAGTGTAGTATAGTATGGTATAGTATAGTAACCCTAAACCCCTAAACCCTAAACCCTATAACCCTAAACAGCCCTTTCTTCCCTACTAACCCCAGTAACTTAATGCAGTTGTCGGAGGCAGAATCTGGTCACGCATTGGTGGGCTGCTTTGCTGGACTGGTGGCGGGCCGACGTGGCATGGGAGGCTGGGATTCCCTGGGGCTGCATGTCTATAAATAATACCTACATTGGGCCCCAATGTCTATAAATAGTACCTACATTTGGCTATTTGGAGCCCTAGGATTAGTGAACTGTGGAATCTACATACTTTGGAAGGGAACTGGTCCGATGTTCTGGGGCGGCCTCTGGGGCTCTAAGTTTACAGATAATACCTACATTACATTGGGGTCTAACAGTTTGTAAATATTACCTACACTGGTTACATTGGGGTATTTGGATCCCTAGGGGAAGATTTTGGGTACAGTAAATAGCTTGGGTTCGGGTCAGATGTGACAAGCTGGAGGTCAGGTTAGAAGCCATATTGCCCTGTGCCAGAGCCTTTTGCCACACGGCCACTTCTTTACCTTATTTTGCCGCAATATGGATAGTATAAAGTACGCAATAGGGCTTCCTTGTTATCGTAACTTAATTCAAGTTCCTTAACGGAAAGTCTTGCCAGATTACTAACCCTGCTTCAAAGAAAATTCGCATGTGGGAGCTTCTGCAACGAAATCAAGAGTCCTAGCCTCGTACTGTAATTCGCAAGAATTTCTGCGGTTCCCCAGCGACCCCATTTTGCAGAAGCCTCCCATGTGGCATGGAAGCCACGTAGACATCCAAAGTAGCTTGCAGGAGCCGAGTTTGTGGCAGCGAACTTGGCCAAGGAGCTGCACCTGAAGCATTAAAAAGGGCCCGGGTTCTCAGAAGGGAAGGCCCTTGAGGGCCCTGAAGATTAGAGGGGTCCCTATGAGGGATTGCGCAGGGAGCGTTTAGAGAAACTCTCAGATAATCGTTTTAAGCGCTTGGGATGCAATGGATCAACTGTGCCTTTCGACTGCCAGCTCATGGCTAATTTTTTTGCAGCTTTCTGAGCATGGGGAGCCGTGCGTGGCAATTGTCCTTGCTACAGAACCCTAGGCATCCCAGTACATAAATACTACCTACATTGTGCCCTAAAGTTGGCAAATATTACCTACAATGGACTATTTGGATCCCTAGGGGAAGACTTGAAGAATTTCAAGGGCTTGCTACAGTAGACTTCATTCATGCTTGATCCTCGGAGCTTTCTTGGGCTGCCCAACAACAGGGTGGCCTTACCGCGCCCAAGCCCAGAGTGTCCTTACTGTTCTCAACCCAGAGTGTCTCTACAGTGCCTAACTCAGCTGAAGCATGAGAGGTATTCGATGATATAGGGATTATGTGAGGATCATATATGATGTAGAGGTCATATAGGGAAGCAAAACATTTTTTTAATGAAGTTTGCTAACCTGCTGCAGTTCACCCTTTTCAAGGCTGGACGTGATACCCGCCGCCAGTAAGCTTTCCCGGCAACGGCTGACGCCCAGTCCACCCTTGAGGAAGTTCCGACTCCTATAGAACCCCGCCAGGTTCTCCGCCTAATTCTAATTAGGGATAATTAATTAATCTTAATTAAGGGGGGAACCTGGGGGGTAGTATAGGGGGCGGTGGGGGGGGGGGAGTAGGGGAACCCGTCGTGAAAGCTGAAGCGCCGCATGTCTTCTTGCTGAAGTGCAGCATTGCCTTGGTGGCAGTCTACATGCGAACTACAGTCTGGCTTCCTAGTATCTTGCTTAATAAGCCCTATAGTAGCTCCCCCTATAACCCCCTATATAACTTTTATACAACCCCTTTAAGGAGTTTAGACTATAGCTCATAACCCTACATAATCCCAGTTTCCATGTTCTTTTCCATTTGATTCTCCATCATGGCAGTCCCCCATATAACCCCTTTTAAGTAGTTTAAGACTATAGCTCATATAACCCTTATATAACCCTATAGATATATATATATATATAGCAGTTTCCATTTCATTTTCCATTTTCTTTTCCATTTGATTCTCCATTATTAAGGAGGATACCAGGAGTTTAGACTATAACCCCCATATTCCCTTACATAGCCCTAGACTACCTTGAACCTGGTTGGGCAGGACGTGGCCACAAGCTTCCAGGGCCGGGAGCAGGGCGGCCAGCGTGGAGCCAAGGCAGCGGCTTCAAGCACGGGTAGAAATCGCGCAAAGCGTATCAAATTGTGAAGCCACATTTCCCCGGAGATCCAAGTATATAGATAATAATGACCTACATTGGGCCCTAAAGTCGGCAAATATTACCTACAATGGGCTATTTGGATCCCGAGGATTTGTTTAGGATGAGGCGTCAGACTGAGCATGGACATTCAAGCGACGTTTGTGTCCGGAAGCTTTGATCTGGGTCGAGGCAGCCGTCCTCGCGGGGTTTCAGCGCACTCAGCACGGCTTCCTGCAGTACGTTTGGTCCCCAGGCATCCCAAACTGTATACATGGGGATTTCCCACAATTAGGGTCGCCGTTTTTGGGGGTCCCCATACCGAGGATCACAGTATTTTGGGGTCTATATTAGGTGGCCCCCATTTAAAGGGAAGCTACCCATATAACCCCTATATAACCCTTACAATCCCTGTGGTTTCCATGTTATTTTACAGTATCCCAACATAGCCCTCATGTTCCCCCAATGGGAACTACGATGCTACCACATGTAGCTTGCGCTTGGTACGGCATTGCTGGCAATCCAAGCCCAAGGCTCAGCGCCTAAGCGACAATTCTGCTAAGCTTTGGCTATCGGCTGAAACCAGCGTCGCTGCCCCAGAGCATTTCCCAGCAGCCTGGTTGCCGATCGCCTTCTATGCCCCTGTCCCTATATATTTCTTATAACCCTGTTTACATGTAACTGGTTACCGTACATATATCTGTTTACATATATATATATATGCATATGTGTATGTTCCATATATATACATATATGTATATATATATGTATACATATACATCTCTCTCTCTCTCTCTCTCTTTCTCTCTTATTCTGTATTCGTTATTATATCCCTTTTTAGTTCAGGAGCCTGGAGTCAGCGTTGCTTCAGGCCTGCTCCGTTCTGGTGTTCGGGCCGGACAAGGACGGCCAGTGGGGCCCCAAGTCGCGGGTTTAGGGTGCTTGGGGCTTAGGATTTGTTTTTAGGATTTTGAGGGTTTAAGATTTTTCAGGGCTTTAAAGGCTTAAGATTTTTTAGGGTTTCAGGGGTTTAGGATTTGGGGGTTTAGGGAGTCAGAGCCCGTTTTTGAGTCCCTTGGCTTGAGAAAAGGCAGTCCGAGTTCGGGAAAAAATAATCAGACAGACAGGTGAGACATTTTAAGTCATACCGTACCCGGAACCCTAACCCTAAACTCTTACTCTGTAGACCCTAAACCTAAACCGTCACTAACCCTATAGCTCCTGCAAGTCCTAAACCGTCACTAACGCTATAGCTCCTGCAAGTGCCCCAACCCAAAGCCCAAAGCTTCGCATTCGAACTTTGTGGGTTCTTGTGGGCTTGTGTTAATGTAGGGGTTATATTGGGGGCTTATCTGGGGATAACGGAAAAGAAAATGGAAACTACTATAATATCTGTTCCCGGTCCTGGGGATCCTACCCCTCCACTCCCCCATGGTATGGTCCCCGCCCTCCCCAGCAACCTCTCACAAGTGGCAACAGTCACAGGGATGGGGCCCGTCGAGGTCGCGATCCTCGTAACTGTTGTCGTTCTTGACGCCGCAAAGCTGCCATTCTTGTAACTGTCGTCACTTTTGGCTCCTCGTGCTTTCGTCGCGTTTCAAAAGTCCCAACAGTTACTGGGACGGGGCCCCCTAATGTCACGATCCTTGTAACCGTCATCACTTTGGACGTCTGAAAAGCGCCAACAGTTGCCGGGAAGGGGCCTCCCGGGGTCGCGATCCTTTTAACTGTCGTCACTATTAGACCTTCGTGCTGATTATGCCTCGGGCTATAGCTCTACTTAGGCTGTATCGTGAGCTGGCACTACAGGAAGCTCCAAATAAACCTGTGTCCAAATCATTAGAAGAATTAAAGGTAACAGCATTATAAATGATATGGGATTTGCAGCAGGATCATTTACGAATACCGTTCTAATATATTCCCAGAACTACGTGGACAGGACCACCAGAACCACAGGACCACAGAGGGGGGGCGGGGGCGTGGGAGAATCACCAGCACAGCATAGGTACCACAGGGTGAAGCTTTGAGTTTCCTGCCAGTGCAGTCACAAGTCCAACCACCAATTGATGTCCTATGCTGAAGGTTCTAGTGTAGGGACTACCAGCACCTC